GAATTCCTGGACTAGCCAAAAATTTAAAGGCCAGAGTCTTCAGAGTTCGGGCAGATCAAGAAGGTTCCACAACTATAGTTTCAGTAGTAGACAGGTGTTCAAAAAAAAAAAAAAAAAATATATATATATATATATATATATATGAACAGTTGATAGCTCAATTTTGAAAATGAAATGTATTTTAATAAACACTGCCTTTATAGTAATTCAAAGTCTGTGTATACAGTTTTTTGGGATACCCGATATATGAGGATATTGCCACTTCCATGAGGTACCACACCACTGAGTAAGAATAGTTTATACTCCATTAACCTTCCCATTGTTAGTGAATTAGTTGTTTTTTTAAAAATATATATTTTATTGATTATTTACAGAGAGGAAGGGAGAGGGATAGAGAGCTAGAAACGTCGATGAGAGAGAAACATCGACCAGCTGCCTCTTGCACACCCCCTACCGGGGATGTGCCCGCAACCAAGGTACATACCCTTGACCAGAATCGAACCTGGGACCTTCCAGTCCGCATATCGATGCTCTACCACTGAGCCAAACCAGTTTCGGCTGAATTAGTTTTTTAAATCCTATTTGATACAATGCAGCCAATAAAGTTCAATTACAAATTCAAAAATGTGTTCTTAATGCTGTACCTTTCTACCTTTGGTGAAAATCTCTGTGATACGACTATTCTTAAGTAGAAATTAATCCTTATTAAATGAACAGGAGAAAAAACGTTTTAATATAATAAATTCTTGATGTAAATAGCAAAGGCATAATTGCTCTTGCTCAGGAAGGGCTTATTCCATCTACCAACTCAGAACAGACACTCTTGCCCCTGATTTGAGGATTTAAACAGGTTATACCACTCACGTGGTCCTTTTAAGTGGTCATCCATACTGGGTCATAAACAGAAGGAAGCTACACATGAAAGTAACAAATTGTTTAGTCACATCAAATGTTACCTTTGTTCTACTGAAAATAGGTCCAGACCTGCAGAATAATAAAAAGGAAGAAGAAGGAAAAAAATCAAGCTAGCAATTAAAATTCATTATGAAGTATTTACAATTTCATAATGCTTTATGACCACAAATGCTAAGTAATCATAGATTTGTAAAAGTTGCCTGTCACCACAAAAATCAAAAAGAATTCACACTAACAATAATGTGTTAAATAAAAGAAATCACAAGACTTGAAGCCATTAAAACGGAATTTAAAAATCACCAGCAGAAATTCCCATCAGGATGGCAGAGTAGGTGCATGCTGTGTTCACCTCTTCCCAAGACATCAAAATTACAACTAAATTACAGGACAGCCACCTTGAGAACCATCTCAAGACTAGCTGAACAGAACCATAACCAAGGATTTACTAGTACAGAAGCTACCTGAAGACTGGTAGGAGGAGCAGAGACCTGAAACAGGCTGGTCGCACAGCCACCTGGGGCGGAATCAGGAGGGCTATCTTGGCTGTAGGGGTCCCCACTACACAGTGAGGGGTCCCAGCCCCCTGGGCTTCCCAGCCCTGAGCACCAGTGCTGAGAAGAGGCGTCCCAACAACAACTAGTTGTGAAAATGTCCCCTCAAAGGGCCCGAGCTCAGACTCAGTTGCTCAAAAACACTTGCCAGCTCAAGGACAGCACCTTGAAAACAGCCAGGGAAATGAGGGGAATGGAATTGTCTGGCTTCGGGGTGAGGGGTGGAGGGGCAGCTCTCTTAGGACTAAAGTACTAACAGTCTCCACTGTTTCTTTGTTGAGCTCTCCCCGCACATAAATAACAGATGGGCACCAAATAGGAGTCTCCATTAACCTCCCTAACACGTCTCTCTCCCCACCCAGGTGATTCTGAGATCCCCTAACCCACCATGCACTAAAGGAACCTCTTTCTGCAGCTGTTCCTCATACATGGCTGACCTTGACCCATTCTGCCGACTTTCCTAAAAATCTCTCAAAAATCCACAAACCTCAAATAAACAACAGCTGGTCTCCATGTACCCAGGCACCTCCAAGCCCAGCACAGGCAGCTACCAACCACAAACCATGTTGCATCTCCTATCAAGTGGCCAAAGGGTGGACACAGATAGTGGCTCACCTAGGCCTACACTGTAGTCCCGCCCTAGAACCAACACATCAAGGGGACCACTTCAGACCTCACCGGAGCACCACCCGATTGGCACCATAAATGACACACCCAAAGAATGGACTGGCAGGCACCAGAGACCCCTAACGTAAATCCCATTCCATGGGGTCAGCCCCCACACAACACCTCACCCACGATAGCCATGGCCGGTCTTCACAACCAGGCGACCTCAGGGTCAAACCCACCCACTGACCCGCCAATAGCAATCAAGGCTCAGCTCTAACAGGAGGGCGTGCAACTCACACAAGGGACCCCCCGGGAGCACCCAGCTCAAGTGACCAGAGAGCCTGCAGCACTCGACCCCATAGGACATCTACTATGCAATGCTACCCCACCAGGCCTGGGAGACAGCAGATCTACCTGCTATTTATATTTAGAAACAGACTCAGGGAGGTAGCCAAAATGAAGAAACAAAAAAAATATGAATAAAAAAACGGCAATAACTACATACCTATCAATAATTACTTTAATTGTAATTGGATTAAACGCTCCCATGAAAAGACATACGATGGCTGAGAAGAGAAGAAAACAAGACGCATACATTCACTGCCTACAAGAGACACACTTCAGAGCGAAAGACAAACTAAAACTAAAGGGATAAAAAAAAAAAGATATTTTATGCAAATAGAAGCAGAAAAAAAAAAAAGGCTGGAGTAGCAATACTTAGAAAAAAATGGACTTTAAAACAAAGGCCAAACAAGAGAAAAAAAACGACATTTCATGTACAATAGCCAAGATATGGAAGCAACCAAAGTGATGGATTGGTACATACATACAATGGAATAGTACTTGGCCATAAAAAGAATGAAATCTTTCCATTTGTGACAGCATGAATGGACCTCAAGGGCATTATGCTAAATGAAATATCCCAGGCCGAGAAAGACAGATACCATATGTTTTCACTAATATGTGGAATCTAAAAAACAAATAAGCCATCAGAACAGAAACAAACTCGTAGATACAGAGAAAAAAAACTGATGACTGCCAGTTGGGAAGGGTGTTGGGGGGGCAAGTGACCAAGGGGAAGGGGGTAAGAAGTACAAATTGGCAGCTACAAATAGCCATTGAGATGTAAGGTACTGCATAGGGAATACAGTCAATCTTATCCTATCTAATAAAGAGGAAATATATTAATTGATGTAGCAAAATGGTGACACCCACAGCCAATAAGGAGGGAATATGCCCTGAAAGATGGCGGTGCCCACAGCCACAAGATGGTGGCACCAGTCCCCTCAACCTAGCCAGGGTGGCAGGTGTGCAGCAATCAAAGTGATGGCATGGTACACCTGCCTCCAGAGTCCTCCAATGTCCCAGATACCCAGGGCTGCCCGAGGCTCAGGTAACCAGGGCCAGCCAAGGCTTGCGCTGCTGGTAGTGGCAGCAGCAGAGGTGTGATGGGGCATCGCCTTCCCCTGATCGCTGGGTCACCTGTCCTGAGGGCTCCCAGACTGGGAGAGGGGCAGGTCCAGCTGAGAAACCACCCCCTCCAGTGCATGAATTTTCATGCACCGGGACTCTAGTAATATTATTATAACTATCATACTAGAGGCCCAGTGCATGAAATTTGTGCATTGGGGCAGGGGTGGGGTCCCTCAGCCTGGCTAGCGCCCTCTCACAGTCTGGAACCTCTTGCTCCTTACCACCTGGCTCACTGCTCCTTAGTGCTGCTTCAGAGGCCCACCCACGCTGTGCTCACCAGCTGCCAGCCGGCTTCTGGCTGAGCAGCACTCCCCCTGTGGGAGCGCACTGACCACCAGGGGGCAGCTCTTGTGTTGAGCGTCTTCTTTCCCCCCCCCCCCCTCTTGGTCAGTACCATCATAGAGACTGGTCATTCTGATCGTTCTGCTGTAATGGTCACTTAGGCTTTTATTCTATAGATTATATAGATATATGGTGCCAGGTAGGTATTAGACTTATTGGGGGAATCACTTTGACTGTTACGTAAATGCCTAATCACTGGGTTGTACACTTGGAACTAATATAATATTGAATGTCAATTATAATTGAAAATTAAAATTGGAAAACACACACACACAAAATTACCAGCAACATGATGGGGTGGGTGGGGCAGGGCAGGGAATGAGGCCCAGTTCCTAAATAAAAAGAGTGTCCAGTAAAGAGACAACCAAAATCACTAAACCAATCTCTGTGCTGACTGGTGCATTCTCCATGTGCTAAATACAAAAGGAGGCGTCAAAAGCACCCCCCACACACAAAAGAAACCAACCTGAGACACACCCAGCTGTCCCCTAACCCTGACTGCTTAGTGTCTGGACAAGCAATCATAAAACCTGAGGTGCTTTTCATTTGCAAGAAGTCTTAGGGGATGACACTACAGCACTTGTGAAGAAAAGTGAAATCCTACCAGGATCTGCAAAAGGTACTCTCAACAGTGTACACTGAATTTTCCTTTTAATTAAAAAAAATTTTTTTTTTTAAAATCTTCATTTCCAGAAGGCCAGATTCAAAGGGTGCCGATGGCTTTCCCCTCGGCCCGCGTCCAGGGCCGGCTCCGCTGCAGGCCCCGCATGTCCAAGGCGGAGGCCACCCACCGCGCGTTCCCATTCCCGGGGCCCTGAACCGTGTCACCCGGACCGAACCCCTGGGGCCTCCGGAGCGGCCACCGGCGGCCACCCTGGTCTGCCCCACTGGCTCTGGGGAAACAAGAGGAGCCATCGAGTCCCACAAACAAGTTCCCTCTCCCCTGGCCCGAACCGGGGTGCCGGGGTGCGGGGCGCCCCTCCGCTCCCAGCGCATCCCCGGCGCAGACCGAGTGGGCGGCCCGGTCCGCCGCCCCCGAGGCGGGGGGCGCCGGGCGCGCCGTCCGGGAGGGGACGGGGCCGGGGAGGGCGGAGGGGCCGCCGGGCTCACCTTGTTGAGGCGGGCGTCGCGCAGCACGGAGCAGCCGCGCTGGGGGGTGTGGCGGCGGCCGGCGGGCTCCATGGGGGACGCTGCGGCGCGGGGCGGGCGGCGGGGATGCTGCTGCGGCGCCGGCGCTGAGGGCGAGTGCGGCGGCCGCGCGGGGAGGGCCGGGCCGGCCGGCGTGGGAGGGGATGGGAGGAGAGGGGAGGGGAGGGGAGGGGAGAGGGGAGGGAAGGGGAGGGGAGGGGAGGACAGGGGAGGGGAGGGGAGGGGAGGGGAGGGGAGGGGAGGGGAGGGGAGGGGAGGGGAGGGGAGGGGAGGGGAGGGGAGGGGAGGGGAGGGGAGAGGGGGGAAGGGAGGGGAGGGAGGAGAGGGGCGGCCGCCGCGGGCGGGGCCAGCGGAGCTGGTGTCCCCAGCGGCCGGCCCGCCCGCCCGGAGAAACGCTGAGTCACGGCGGCGGAGCTCGCAGCGGGGCGGGCGGCGGGGGAAGCGGCGCGGGGCGCGGACCGGCGGCGTCTCCGCGGGGGCGTGTCGCAGGGGGAGCACTGATGCCCTCCTTGTCCCAGGGGCCCACGTGGGCGAGAGGCCGGGGTCCCCGCCGGCCCCCTGGCCACGCGGCCAGAGCCGCTAGAAGGGGGAGCCACCTGCTGCAGGGGCACCGAGGGGGAGAGAGGAGACATGCTGCAGGGGCACCTGGGGGAGGAGGAGAGACCTGCTGCAGGGGCACCTGGGGGGGGGGGAGACCTGCTGCAGGGGCACCTGGGGGGGAGGGGAGTCCTGCTGCAGGGGCACTGGGGGGGAGGGGAGACCTGCTGCAGGGGCACCTGGGGGGGAGGGGAGACCTGCTGCAGGGGCACTGGGGGAGGAGGGGAGACCTGCTGCAGGGGCACCTGGGGGGGGAAGACCTGCTGCAGGGGCACCTGGGGGGGGAGGGGAGACCTGCTGCAGGGGCACCTGGGGGAGGAGGGGAGACCTGCTGCAGGGGCACTGGGGGGGGAGGGGAGACCTGCTGCAGGGGCACCTGGGGGGGAGGGGAGTCCTGCTGCAGGGGCACTGGGGGGGAGGGGAGACCTGCTGCAGGGGCACTGGGGGAGGAGGGGAGACCTGCTGCAGGGGCACCTGGGGCGGGGGAGACCTGCTGCAGGGGCACCTGGGGGGGGGAAGACCTGCTGCAGGGGCACCTGGGGGGGAGGGGAGACCTGCTGCAGGGGCACCTGGGGGGGAGGGGAGACCTGCTGCAGGGGCACCTGGGGGGGGAGGGGAGACCTGCTGCAGGGGCACCTGGGGGGGGAGGGGAGACCTGCTGCAGGGGCACCGAGGGGGGTGGGGGGAGAGACTGCTGCATGGCACAGAGGTGGGGGGTTGGGGGAGCCTGGGTGTTTGCACACAACCAGGACCAGCTGCTGTAACCAGCAGCCTTCCAGCTCTCCCTTAGAGCCAGGCTCCTTCATGGCGCCCTACCCACCGCCCTGGGTGCCAGCCATGCCCGTGAGCAGGAGGCGGGAGCAAACCAACCTTGACCCAGAAAGCCCAGGCCCAAGTAGAACTGGGGGAAAGGCGAGAAGGGGAGCGTGGGTGCCGCTGCACAGGTCTCTGCAGGTTACCCACGGGGCTTCTATTAAAGTAAATGTGTGTGTATAAATGTGTGTTAGAGTGCACATGCCTTAGGGCCCAAACCGCAGTCACATTTACCCTGTATAGAATTTCCCCAAGTTCAAGAAGCTGAGGTGTTTAAGGACCTCTCTCTGAATAATGACGAGGAACCCAATCTCTAGGAGCTTCAGTTTCTTTTTTGGTAAAACTGGAGGGTCAGCCGAAACCGGTTTGGCTCAGTGGATAGAGCATCGGCCTGAGGACTCAAAGGTCCCGAGTTTGATTCCGGTCAAGGGCATGTACCTTGGTTGCGGGCACATCCCCAGTAGGGGATATGATGGAGGAGGCAGCTGATCGATGATTCTCTCTCATCGATGTTTATAACTCTCTATTCCTCTCTCTTCTCTCTGTAAAAACTCAATAAAATATATATTTAAAAGAAAAAAACAAAAAACTGGAAGGTCAGAAGAGTGCTGTTACAGCACTAAAATTCTGTTTTTGTTGATATCGAACCTAGAGTGTCAAAAAATGGAGAAGCAGTCACATGAGAGCCAAAAGGGAGTGTTTGACACACGGGGAACACTGAAGATTTCTGTGCCCAGATTTTCTTTTCAGTTAAATAGGAATCCTGATGTCTGCCCTAAGCATCTCTACCTAATGATATAAAATGTAGTGTTTAGGATTGATTGCGTATTGGTTTTATAGATCCACAAACTAGACACACATCCATTCAGTATCTTCTTCATTTGGAATTATGTGGGTTTTTTTTCTTATCAGAATGCATTGTTCCAGTAATTGTTTTTTTGGCTGTACTTCTATCCAGAAGCTTCTTAGGCCTGGTCTTTAAATTATCTAGAATGAATGCTCTTATTTAGAGAACATTTTATTGGCGTCACGGAGTTCTTTTAAAACACTCATTGCATTTAAGTAACGCTTTTCACTGTCAGTTTTATAATCCATAAATAATTAACCCTACCACATTTGAGAAGAAGGTATACTTTACAAAAGTCACTCTCTTAAATTAACGGAGGCACATTACAATTACAGAGCTTTGTCTGAGAGAGAAAAAAAGTTTAACAACAGTCCTGGGAACCAAACAGAAGATAGTGAAGACGAAACAAAAATATTCGTGCAATGGAACCTTATTTTAAAGCAGCTCTTATTGCATAAAATTTAGATATATTGCCAGTCTATGACGGTTTCTATGGTATAATGTCTACCTCTAGGAAAGCTGGTGTAAATATAGGGAGTAGCCCAACAAGAATGTGTGGGCTCTTCATCATTACAGAGGGATTACAAGATTCTGCCAGTGCAGGTAAGGCTCCCCTCTCTCTTCCATGTGTTTATTTCTCTTATGGAAAGAGTTCCAGTCATTCTGAGTGATATTAGTGAAAGGCCTAGCTGGGGGAGCAATCTTGTGTATCCATGTGCCATTCCAATAACTTATTTTTCCACATAAATCTTATCCAGAACAGGCAATTTTCCAGTCCCTTCAAATAGTAAGATTAGATTTTATTGCCAAAAAGAACATAAATAAAAAAGGAGGAAAGAAAAAAAATTGTTTTAATTTTCCTTGGAAGAAACTATAGTTGTGCGGTCATCTGCACACACTTGGCGATGTTAATAATGGGTGTGGTTCACAAACGAAGGTTTCTGTTACACAGGTGCAAATATTAAACTTACAATCAAATCAAATATTTGATCAAATACAACCAAGTCAAAATCAAATATTTCTTGCCCAAGTTTAGTGCACAATGAGCTCTAATGTTAAAATACTAGAGGCCCGGTGCACAAGATTTGTGCAGGGCCAGGAGTGCCCTGAGCCAGGCCTGTGCCCTCTGGCAGTCTGGGACCCCTCAGGGGATGTCCACCTGTTGGCTTAGGCCAGATGCCCCTAGGGATCTGGCCTAAGCCGGCAGTCAGACATCACTTTCACAGTCCAGGGCTCTCCCAATCTGAGACCCCTGGCTCCTTACCACCCACCAGCAGTGGAGGTGGGGCGAGGCTCCCACCACTGCCACTGCGCTCACCAGCGCCGAGCCCCGCAGGGGACAGATCCTGCATTGAGCGTCTGCTCCGTGGTGGTCCGTGCACATCACAGTGACAGATCGTTCTGCCATTCGGTTGATTTGCATATTTTGCTTTTATTATATAGGATGATTTTAGTATTCTGATCTAATGTCATTGAGATTTCAAGAAAAGGCATATATCTCAGATACTGTGGGTTGGGTTCCAGATCACTGCACTAAAATGTTGTTGCAATGAATCAAACCATAAAAGGTCTTTGAACAGAAATAAAGCAAATTTTAATAAAATGAGATATTCAGGAAATTCTTAATAGCATATACAACATTGCAAATGTTTTACCTTCATTGAAAAAGAGAGAGAGAGAGAGAGAGAGAGAGAGAGAGAATCTAGCCATAGCTAGGTAGTTAAGTTGGTTAAAGTATCACCAAGGTTGTAATACACCAAGGTTGTAAATTGTATACACCTAATACACCAAGGTTGTAAATTCAATTTCCAGTCAGGGTACATACCAGAAGCAACCAATGAATGCAATGATAAGTGAAACAACAAAGGAAAGCAGTTTTAGGTTCCCAGAGGGTGGCAAACTGTGGGGAGATAAACATATAGAAAGAAACAAATAGAGTAAGGTCTGTTTACAGGTTCCTCTGGTCCTGGAAAATACATATTTGGGGGTTCCATATCCTGATTTCTCTCACTAGACTCTGTACCTGGCTCTAAGGCAATCCCTTCTGAACCAAACTATAAGTAATTGTTATTTGAATATTATAGTACTTGATGAAATCAATATATGAGTCATTTCATTAGAATATGTTAAACAGATGTACTCTGAACTTCTACATGCAAAAATGTATGCAAAAACTCCATCAGGCCTAAGCCAACAGTCACTCAATGCTATATATATTCTAAGAGAATATATATTTATACCGGTATGTGTGGCATATATATATAATATATGTATATTCTGTATATATAGAGAGAAGCTGCATGTTGATTAACTGATTTTGGAATAAGTCCATAAACTAAGTCACAGCATGCATAAATCATTTATATCTTAACTGCTCATTTATACCTGAACAAGTTTTCAGTAAGCGGGCTAGTCATTTTCAAATGTTCAAATGTGGTAGCATTATTTTATTTTGCTAAATTACATTTGGGGAAAAGAAGCTGGATGTTTCATTTATTTAATGTTAATGTATTCTGAACAATATTACACAATTCATGTGTAGAAGATTAAAATATCACAAATTTCCCATAAAAACATATTATTTAGTCTATCATTGGTATATATTTACAAAACAGTTTATTTTAACATTGCAAATAGAAGTTTCGGTGTAAAGCACTGGAATAGGTTTATACTCTATTACAATGATCCTAGTGTTCTTTATAAAAAGGCCTCAGCAATGTTCATCATCTAGAGGTAGGAGTTTATCAATTGCTTGTTAGCCATCATTTCCTGGTGA